TGCCTAGCAATCGTTCCTGGACGGGCTGGTGATGCGCGAAGCATCCGTAACTGGCAAATTCTGCAACAACAAATACGTCTGCTGAAAAATGTGTATGTGGCACTGCTGGGTAGGTGGCGCGGCCGAGCGGAAAATTGTTCCGAAAACAACGCAGACCGAACGCTTCTCGCCTGCGTCAACACGTACATTTGGGTACGACCCTCCCCCTGTCGCACCAACTTCTCAACAAGCAGCTTCATCAAAATGCCGTCAACTCTCAATGGTGCCTTGGGCACTCCGCAGGAAGCTCAGCCTGCTCAACCAACACGACTCTTTGCAGTGGGTGGAAAGCTGGGACGATGTGCTAAAGAGCAGCACCGATGGGATAGAGCTGTTAGCAAGGAGAAGGACAGCCTGACAAACATGCTCGCGTTCCGGATGACGCTGGCAACGCAACGCTGAAAGGCTATGTAGAGGCTGCAGGGCTGAAACGACTGCTCAGCATCGCGGGCTCAGACAGCAATGCGGAACCAGAGTGAGTGGCATGGGCTTCCCCAGGAGATTCAACATAACAAAGATAAACTCCCTAGCAGACCGTCCTCGGTGTAGAAGGCTCGTGCGTGCAACCACACCCTGCGTCTATCAGCCTATTGTTCCTGGGTGCTCAATCACCACTCTGTGAGATTTACGTTGGCCCCTCGTCTGACCCTCAGCGTCGAAGCTGTCGTTTCCAGAGGACTGGCCCGACATGAAGTGGGACTGGTACGTGGTCAGGATTTCAGCTAGGCCATCGACCTGCACTGTGCCCCTCTGGTCGAAATCGAATGCCCTCATGACTGCGTCAAGCTCAGAAGGGACCAGTGTCACCCCCATTCGTCGGAGCCCCACGGCCATCTCTGCTCTGCTGAGGATGCCGTCTCCATTGATGTCCAACTCTGACAGCGCTACACTTAGACTCTTCCTGTTAGTTTGCAGCTCCCTCACCATGCAATCGAGCGCCTCCTGCAGCTTAGGCTTGTTGAGCTTGCCCAGCACGCTGTCAAGCATATGGTTTCCTGTCGGAGTTGGGGGGGAAGGCTTCGGCACCGGATGTTTGACCTCAAGCAGGCAAGGGGTGCTCTGCGACCGCGCCGTCCCATCCACGATCCCCCTGCTGAAATGGATCTCGTTCAGCTTCTTTCGCCTCTCCTCGACCTTGTGCTTTCTCGAGTTGGCGACTGCGGCCTGTGGGTCGTAACTCTGTGCTTGGCGGGCAAGCATCGATGCCCTGCAAGCCGTCCGATCGGCCGCTGCACTGGAGTCGCCCAGGGACGCGGAATGCCGCGCGTGCGCGCGCGAGGTCCTCAGTTGCCTAAGAAAGACGTTGGTGGGCTTGTTTTCCACCGCCACCACCGTAAGTAGGAGGGGGAGGGGGTCCTCCTCCTCCCTCCTCCTCGTCGTCCTCCTCCTCATCCTCCACCTCCTTCTCCCCCTCCTCCTCCTCCTCCTCCTCCTCCTCCTCCTCCTCCTCCTCCTCCCTCTTATCCTCCTCTTCCTCCTCCTCCTCCTCTTCCTCCTCCTCCTCCTCCTCAGCAGTTCAGCTCATGGTGGTGACGGTGGAGAACGGGCCCAGCAGACGTGATCGGAGCCGGACGCCTGCGGAGGCCGCGAGCCGCCGCCGCCCTGCTGCGGGGGCGGTCGGCACGCGAAGCAGTCCAGCACCGTGGCGGCCAGGGAGTCTGCCCACAGCTCCTGCGAGGGGCAGCGACAGGGGGGGGACTGGCACAGTGGGTTAGGTCGGGCCTGTCCCTCGACAGGGGGGACATGCAAGAAAATAGTCAAAATATAGTCTGGGACCGTTCTTTGCCAAGTACTTGTTGTTGACCATTTTGGAGCATGTTTCGCGTATGTTTTTATTTCTCGTCGAAAATCCCCCTGTATAGGGGGACACACCCGACATAACACAGGGGGGATGCGTCGACCTGGACGCGGCGATACCTCGTCGATTGATGGGCGGCAGGCCACCGACAGAGAGTCCGCACCCTTCCTGGGCGGGGTCTGGGGCTGTCGGGTGCCCATCGGCGATGCATGAGCTGGACTGCTGAGGAGGAGGAGGAGGAGGAGGAGGAGGAGGAGGAAGAGGAGGAGGAGGAGGAAGAGGATGATAGGATGGAGGACGAGGAGGAGGAGGAGGAGGACCCCCCCCGAGGCCTCTTCCCCCCCCGATCGTGGCCCACGGCTCCTGGCCGCAGTTCAGGCACATGCCGTACGCGGCCGGCGAGACGAGGGCGGCCCCGCTGGGCAGCGGAACGAAAAACTCCACGAGTACAGAACCTCTGAGGCCCGCGCGGATGTCTCAAGGGCTCCCCACTTTCAGGGGGGCGTAAGACCTGGGTACAGGGGACTCGGAAATCCCCGACGAGGTCGTCAAACAAATGACGAGGCCGAGCCTGCATTTTGACGAGGCCTCCTGCTGCAGACATCCCACGAAACTCCTACTCGTCAAAATCCGAGTCGCGGTCGTCAAAAAACGATGGCGAACCCGAGTCCTGGCAAACCCGGGTCTTACGCTCCCCCGACACTTCGCGCTCTCGCGCTGCGTGGAGCGCGAAGCGCGAAGAACTTCGCGCTCTCGCGCCGCCTCCCAGGGGAGAACAAGGAAGGTGAGGAGGGATCGGAGCCGAAGCGCGAGGCGCGAAGCGCGAACAACTTCGCGCCCTCGAGGGTGCCCTTGGATTTCTCGGATCGGCGCTGGACCCCCTCCCTGGCGCGCGGAGCGCGCCATGGGCGGCGCCAAAGGCGCCGCCAGGGGGGTCCAGCGCGGATCCGAAGAATCCGCGCGGGCCTCCGAATGTTGTATGTTCATGTCATTCTTCGCTCCGCTGGTTGGGAAGCCGTCGCCGAGGGCCGTGTGGCTGAGGTGGCAAAGAACGAGGGGCCATGGTGGCCGACATGCTGGCATCAGGCGGTGGCATTAAAGTCGAATTACCCATGGACACCAGCGTGCCAGCTAGAGCCAACATGATTTTCGCCCAGCAAGGATGACTCAGGATGGCGACAATGATGATGGCGACGTGCAGTACCTTGAAAAACGGGCCTTTGTAAGGTCAAGCGGCCTCATGTGAAGACGATCGTGATTGAGGCGATGACGCTGAAGATGTGGGGCGTCTCACGGCCAATCCCTCATGTACAATTCGGAGGTTGGTGGGTCAGATCGGACAGAAACGGAGTCGCCCACTTCTCACCATCGCCCAGACGTCCATTCCCCGTGCATTTGTCGGTTTCGTGCGTTCATGTTTCGCACGGCGATGCAAGATGCTACTCGATGGTCCTCGCCGACGCACACGTCCGAGCGATGCAAAGAATTAGAAATTCATTTCGGTGTCGGCTCGTGTCGTGCGCGATGCGCGTGCGGGCGATGTAAGGCGAAGCCACGCGAGCTCCTGCCCCAGTAAAGCCAAGTTAGGCCAAACTGAGTCGACCCCCCCTTGCGGCGGCCGCGGCGTGGATGTGCCCGGATGGCTGTCCCGATGCTTGTCCCGATGCTTTCCCGATGGTTGTGCCGGTGGTGGTTCCGATGACTGTCCAGATGGTTGTCCCGATAGTTGTCTCGATGGTTGTCCCGATGGTTGTCCCGATGGCGGTGACGATGGTTGTGCCGATGGTTGTCCAGATGGTTGTCCCGATGGTTGTCCCGATGGTTGTCCCGATGGTTGTCCCGATGGTTGACCCTTTGGTTGTCCCGATGGTTCTGCAAGGCCCAAGCAGGCAAATCACATGCTCTGCGACGCTGCAATTTGAGAAAACGTCTACGAGGCCAGAATACCCGAAAAACGTCCAGCAGGACCGCGACAACAAAAATATGCCCTCTTCGAGGCTGCAATGCCAACCAATGAGCCCTACATGGCAAGCAACGAATTTAATAATTACCCTACGGGACCAAACAACACAAACACACACATACGCAAACACAAATACATGTACATATCATTACACACATATACAGGTGTGTTTATGTTTATGCTCAGGGTATAGAATTAAAAATACATATAGATGTGCGATTATATATACATGTACATATCCATATGTATACATGTAATGTGCCCTGCGTGGCGAACCAACAGTTAACAGATGCGCCCTGCGGGTTCAAGCGCAATGTAGCGAACGTGAACCCAATCCCACCAGCCTTATGGGCGTGAGTGGCTGAACAGGTTTACGATTCTGTCTTCCCTCTTCCCCTTCGGGAAAGGGTCTCTCACTGTTCCCTCTTTTTGTGTATATGCAATTTCAACAAAAATAAGGAGCTCCCCTAGGCGAGTGGCAGCCAAGCAGGACCAACGCCAACACACACACACACACACACACACATCCCTGTCCGAAAACCTCACGAAGTATACTTTGGAGCAACAAAATGGGTCATACTCGTGGGTCCCGCGAGCACTGTGTGTTGTTTGTTGGACCGGGACGGTGGGGTCCCCTCGTAACAACTGCTTTGCGCAAGGCCACCATCGCTGTCAAAAAACAATGTAACATTCACTTCGTGGCTAAATATGGATCATGCGCGGTTACCCCGCGACCACTGTCCGCTGGTGACAAGAACCGTGGGGGTGCCGGCATATTGCCTACTGTGTGCAGGCCCACCAGACAACATCATGGCGTCCCCGCCGCGATTGTGCACTGGCTTTCGAAAAGCATGGTGGGGGGGCGACATGTTCCCCGATTGGAGCTGACACGTTCGTGGGCGCACCTGGCACACTCTGCGAGTGACCCTGACGTGACTCATCTGGCGCGGCTGGACCATGCGGCACGCGTGGATGGCGCACGTGGAGCACGTGGAGCGTCTGGCGTGCGAGGCGTGCCTAGCACGCTTGGGCCCCACGGGTGCCTGACGCACCTGGAGCGCCTGGCACACGTGGCGCACCGCGCCCCATCGCGCATATGGGGTCTGTGTTGGGTCCCTGTGGCTGCCCATCCGAAGACGACCGCAGGACATGCTCAGGCGCGGGTGCGACTCATGTGCTGAAAGAGGGCGGGCGCGAGTGATCGGGACAGCTTGCGGGCGGGGAGGGCGTCTTGATCACTGTCCCCTATTAATATTCACCCCCTCCCCCAGGCGACCGGCAGCCAACCAGGAATGCTTCCGACCCTATGCCCCCCGCCCCCCGACCATCCCTGTCAAAAGACCATACAAAACACACTCTGCCTCCAAATGTGGAGCATGCGCAACCAACCCGATGCGGGTCCCCCCAACATCCCTGTCAACAAAAATACAAAGCACACTTTGGGGCAAAGTCTTGAGGCACGTTCGTGAGGACCGCGGGCACTCTGTCTTGTTCCCACCCATCCTGTGGTGTTGAGTCCTCATTTCTGAAGAGACGGTCCCTGCGTTCCTTCCTTCCTCCTCCCCCTCCTCCTCCCCCCTCCCGTCCCCCACGCACCCATTTCGGCACACCCCTCACACGCTTCGTGGCCACATAGGGAGCTCCATCGAAGGCCCCCGTGGCTGCGCCCGCATGCGTCCCCCCCGCACCCATTTCGGCACACCCCTCACACGCTTCGTGGTCCAATAGGGAGCTCCACCGAAGGCCCCAGTCGCTGCGCCCGCCTGCGTCCCCCACGCCGATTTCGGCGCACCCCTCACACGCTTCGTGGCCCCATGGGGAGCTCCACCGAAGGCCCCATTGCCGCCGTCCACATGCGTTCCCCACACCCATTTCGACACCCCCCTCACACTCTTCGGGGCCCCACAGGGAGCTCTACCGGAAGCCCCAGCGCCATCGTCCGCGTGCGTCCGCCGCACCAATTTCGGTACACCCCTCACACGTCTGGCGGCCCCATAAGGAGCGCCACCGAAGAAGATATTCACAATTGCGGTTTTCACGGCTGCATATGGCTGGGTCCTTCGCCAAGCAAATATTTTGACGGGGACGGAGGGGCTGTCAGCAAATTGCCTGCTGTGTGCAGGGCCACCATCCCTGTCAACAAAAACAATGCAAAATGCACCTCGAGGCGAAATCTGGATCATGCGCGGCCTCCCCGCGATCACTGTCAAATGGTTTTTGCCTGGTGGCGCACGGCCTACTGTGTGTGACTACCTACCAGATCACCCCAACCCAACCCGAAGACCCGAATTGTTTTTTTCGATGTTCCCCGACCCCCCCCCCAATGGAAATGCAGGGAAAATTGAAGCCTTCGGGTTGGGTTGGGGTCATTTGGTGGGTGGTGAGTGTGCAAGCCCACCAGATACCATGATGGGCAGTGGCTTTCGGCAAGGATGGTGGGGCACCTGACGTACTCTGCACGTTGCCCGAACGTGGTGCACCTGGCGCACGTGGCGCCGGGTGCACGGGTGCACCTGGTGCACCTGGTGCACCCGGCTGGAGTATGCGGCACACCTGGCGCACTTGGAGCACGTAGCGCATCTGGCGCACCAGGCGTGCCTGGCACGCTTGGGCCCCAGGGGTGCCTGGCGCGCGTTGCGCGCCTGGCACGCTCTGGCGCACCTCGCCCCAGCTTCGCGTACAAGGGGCCGGTTTTGGTTCCCAGTATCTGCCCATCCAAAAACGACCGCTGAAGATGCTGAGGCTCGGATGTTATTTATGTGTTGGGAGGGCGGGTGGGAATGAGCCAGACGGCTTGCTATCTAGGGGGGTGTCTTGATCACCCTCCCCATTACCCCCTCCCGTGAGTCTGAACGGGGGAGTTCGCGACCCATTGGAGAGTCCATCATGGTCTCGGCGAGAATGCACACATCAATTTTTTTACTCTGGTGGTGGGTCAATTTTGGCCTCCCGGGGGGAAGGCTAATCTACACCCACCGTCTTCGAACGATCTCTTGCAAGATGATCGCAAGATGGCCCCCGAGGCTCCCAATAGTGCCCACAGAGGCGCCCAGGATGCCCCAAGAGGCCCCAAAGAGGTCCCGAAAATGTCCCCGATGGGGCTCCCACGAGAACCCCAAGAGGCCCCAAAGGGCTCCTCCGAGACACCCAAGACGCTGCAAGAGGCCCACAAAACGCTCCAAGAGGACAACGAGGAGCTTTCAACATACATCCGAAGAGATTTCAAAAGGCCTCAAAAAGGCATTTTTTTATCCATTCTGCTCACCCCCCCTCCTCCGCCTGCTCCTCCTCCTCCTTTTATCCTGCCGCTTCCCCTTGCCAATTCCCCTCCCCTTCCTACTCCTCCATCCTCCCCTTCTTAGGGTATGCCGGCTTCAACAACCGTTTCTTCCACTGCATGGTCCTCCACATTCCTGTTCAGGGCAGCTCGCCTTGGCATCGTTTCTGGATGGGCTGATGGGATTACTTTTTGGCTCGCGGCTCCAAGGCGAGAGACATGGGGCGAACACAACGTCCGGGGCGCGGTACGTAGATAATTGGCGCGAGATTGCCGCGGATTCCGGCGGGCAACACACGCAGCGGCAAATGCACATGCCAGGGACAAAATGCCCCTCATTGAGACGCATATCAACGACTGCTGGTGACCGGCCCAGACAGCCCGCCGGCTGGGGGGGAAGCAAAAGGCGCGGCAACCCGCAACGGAACGGGGGGAGAACTCGCCCTTGCGGCGCTTAGCTCCAGCCGAACCGCAATCGGAAGCGAGGCCAAGACGGACAGCAAGGCACTGTAATAAGCCGCGGGCAGAACGCGAGTCCGAGCGGCCACTGACCAGACGGAACCCACGTGTGTGCACACTGAGCCAGGCCGTCCAAGACCTCGGAAAAAGAAGGGCGAGCGCGAGCGAGAGCAAGTAACTCAGAGTCACTGCGGCTCCACGAGCATACGCTGATGCGGCGAGGGTGGCCCGACTCACCAAGGCTCACTGAAGCTGAGGTGTGGCTGACCAGCGTCGGAGCGCCATCCAGTAAGAGGTAGACCACTGGTGCGCGCTCACGAGGCTGAGCAACCTCCAGCCCGTAGCCTGTGAGCTTACATCGCATCCGAAGCACGCTGTTCGGGGGCACAACGACGAAATGTACTGTCGAGGGCTGGTGGCTGTGGCTGCGTCGAGAAGAATG